GACGATACGAAAGCATGATATTTCAGTTACTGTTACATTCTATTAGTCGACTACAGAGGTGCGTGGCAAAAGCTCTCAAAACAATTCATTATCTCTATGATCTAACTACGTAACTGCGCTTAAAATACTACAACTGCGTCTGAGTTCATGTAAAATTTAGAGATCAGTCGATAAGAGTTTTTTCATGGCCAAAGCCAATACTGACTGTGTACAATCCAGAGGAACTGATCACCGAAAACTTTGCCGATATCCAAATCTCATGGTACAATATTATCACTATTTTCATTTCACTGTGCGATATTTATTGTGATATTTTGGAGAGGCTAAAAGAATTGTAGATAAGATACTTTTTGCGTTTAAAATACCTTGACAAAACTTGGTGCAAATCATTATCACGTCATAATCCTAAGAATTAAAGAATTATGGCCAATAACTGATATGCTAAAAAGTAGTAAAAACAAATATTTATACAGAAAAATGTGTAAAAAGTGTATTTGTATGTAAAAAGTCATATTAAACAGAAGATTGATTCCCAAATCTTCAGCTAATCCCCTCACTACCGTCTCCTTTCTGCTGTTGTCATAGACAAATCCTTAGAACTAGTCAACAGATTCAAATAGTAGTCAACTAAGACACCATTAGACAATTCATCAACTAAATGACTAAAGGACTACAGCCCTACCTTTCAACTATCAAAAGAAATAGCTGAATCTTCTAGTGACACAACCGGCCATTTTTTTTTTGTTTGCTATCTACTCCAGTAACCAATACAGAGAAAATAGAAGGCATGACACAGTAACAAATTTTGAAGTGAGATGCGGCATTCTAACAGTGAGCAAGGTCGCCTCTCCACAGATCTGACTTTTAACTTGGTCTGGTTTGGTCTCAGTGAAGATAGAAAGGTTTAATACCATACTGTGAAACATTCCAGACAAAGCAATAACATCTCTATGGAGAAAAACATTTGACAGCCCTTCCACCAGAAAAGTTACACATTGCACCTTCAAATCTTATCATACAGCCAAAAATAACCAAAACATTTCAAGAAGTAGAAGAAAATGTACACATGGCCTAAGTATATTGTTCCATCTTTCGCACATTGAACGATAGTAATTATTGTGACAGATATTGCAAAGAGTCGAGTAGCGGACATCATTGTGCAAAATTATGAGCAGCAAGTGAATCAAAAAATCCCATCATCAACAATGCAACTCTGTTTTTCTTTTGAATTAAAGTGCCTATGACAGATTGGATTACTCATTTCACTAAAACACAGTTAAGATCATTAGAGTCAAGATTTTTGCAAACACATTCACACTTGTTTTCTCATTTTTTTAGGCTTAAAATTGCACTTCCTGGTTGAAAATTGTGACATCATACTAGGGACTTCCATAACTTACCTAGTAACACTCCTCTATTGTACACAGAAATTACTATCTGACAAAAACAAATACAAGAAAACACCTTTATTTTGTTGAACTCATGTTTAAAATATCAGAAAAAAATGTGTTTCTTAAGTGTAAAACTCTCTACTTCCAGTAAGTTTCAACACTTTTTTCAACTTTTCTTCACTTTTTCTTCACTTGCTTCTTGACTGATTTAAAGCTATAATTTATATTTACAACAGTTATAATTCCACCAAATTAAGTCAAACTTAGAAAATCTGAAAAATCTTTAAACAGAACACTCTCCTCCGCACTTGTTGAGCAGACACTATCACCCCGCACCATTATCCCAGGTCTTTCAGAAGGCTTCAAACTTCTTTTCAAAGTGCCTTTCTCTCCGTTCTTTAGCCTGTTTAGTGAATCAGACACTCTCCTGTCTTGTCTGGCAGGCTGGCTGGCTTGCTGGTTTTTGCGGAGAGGCCCCAGGAGGGACAACAGAAGGAAGGAAAACTAGCACATAAATACTCGTCCAACTCCCAAACACTTGCAGATGGCTCCTATTCCTCGCCCTCTTTCTTTCACAATTTATCAGGTATCCAGCCCTACAACAAGTGTGCCTTTATTTTTATTTATTTTTTCATCCTTTTTCTTACTCTGCTGAGATGACTAATGCTCCTTTAGTTTGTCAGAAGGAAGGGGAGAAAAGTCAAACAGCCCTAATTAATGTGGTGGCGCTGACGAGTGTTGCTACAAAAACAATTTCATTACATCACCAATTAGAATTACAAGAGAGACTGGAGGGTGCAGCCATCTGAAATGTGTTTACTTCAAATTGTACACAGACACTGGACAGAGGAACAGTCGCAATCCCCTGCAATCTCTCGGCAAGTCTGGAAGTCTTTGTTGGGCTTGTGATATTTATTTTTAAGTGCAAGTGTGTCAGGCTGAACGGGGCTCGACGCTGCAGGTGCTACTTAGGAGTTTAGTGCGGGCTTGTAATAGTAGCAGGCTAATGGTTATGAATGAGATCTCGCTAAGTCAACAAGCGCGAGGCAAAGTCAACTGGCCCTGCAGAAGTTTGGAGCAACGCTATGGAACGTTTAGGGTGTGCGGTATAGACGGCGGTGTGTGGCTGCGTAGTTTCTAGTGAAACTTATTAAAGATGCATTGTGTAACTTCTCTGGTGGAGTGTCTAAGGATGTAACAATAACCAAAATATCGTGATACAGTATCGTCAAATGTCTCTCACTAATATCGTGGGCCATCACAATACATCGAATCACAAGTTTCTTTGCTCAGATTAAGAGTTACGGTGCAGCAATAGCTAAAATAACATAGGGAACTACATAGACCATGATCCTTTGCTCTGTTTTGGTGCAAACTACATGAAGAAATAGCAGTTCTAAGCGCTTTTAAGTCTTAGTTCTTTGGATTAAGTCTTATCAAGGCATTTTAAGAGGGAAAAGTAGCATATTGACAATTTTGTTAGCCTCCACAAAATATTGCAATAAATACTGTAACGTGAAAATATCGCACTGTGAGATTTGGATATCGGTACATCCCTAAGAGTGTCCATTAAATGCTTTTCTCCATGGAGATCTTATTGCTTTATCTGGAATGTTTCACAGTATGGTATTAAACCTTTCTTTCTTTCTTCACAGAGACGAAACCAGACAGTTACAGGTCAGATCTGTGGAGAGACAACCCCGCTCATAGTCAGAATGCCTGTTTTTCTAGGTATTTTTGAGCTATAAACCACCCGCAATTGAATAAATGCAAAGTACAGGTGTTTAATGTCATACTGTGGAACATTGCAGGCAGAGCAATGACTGGATATAGGGACGACTCTCCACAGATCTGAATTGTAATGTAGCGTAGTACTGCAACCTGCTTGTCTCTCTTGTAATAAATAGGTTTCATTTATACTGTGGAACATTCTAGACAAAGCAATAACATTTCCATGGAGACAAGGTGGCGCACCCTCCACTAGAAATGTTACACAGTGCACCTTTAAACGAGCATTTGTTTGGCATTACCACTGTCTCTTATGTAAGGAGTTTTGTTTTATGACACTGCACATAAGGTATTTAGTCAGCAGGGTAAGTTGTAATTTATGTCAAATTTCCTGGAAAACTTAAGCACTTAAAAAAAAACGCAATTCCAGAAATTTTGAGTTTTAGAAGAGAACTGGCTCAGTGTGTGATAAACATTGTATAATTGATATGACTACAAGAGGGCCAGTTTTCTGTTTTTGTTTTTGAAGAAAATATGATCCCTCAACTACAGGAATTTCGCAATTGTTTTCATTCATCTGTCTACACACACATCACACCATAACAAAGGTTAGTATTCCAACAATATGTTCCCAAAAGGTTACTGAAACCACAAGTGTTACTTTTTATGTTTTTGCTTATTTCATTCCTGATGACTGAAGAGACCTCCACTTACAGATGGAACAATAAGTCACTTCGGTTCACGTGGATAACTTACGCACTGTTCAATCTAAAGTTCCATAGTGTTGCTTTAAAAGAGTCCTGTTAGAATGTTCTGTAATGAAAAAGCGCTAGTCTCCACTGTCTCCACCTCCTTCGCCTCCACCTCCTCCCCGCTGCTGCTGCCAGGAGCCCCTCTCTCTGCCGCGCTCTGCCCCGGCTGGCCTCACATCTAGACGGAGGAATTTAACGGGGAGGGTCCGCCCGCCAGACTCAAGGCACAGTCAGGCAGAGAAAGGGCTGCGCGGAGTCAAACAGCTCGGGAGGGGGAAATGCACCGTTTCTGTTCCAAAAGCACGCTGAAATCCTCAATAGAGCGTGCGCACAGATTGACCTGCCGACGGGGAAAGGTTAGGACATATGTATTACGCGCATTGTCTAACGGATACAAATAAGAGCCATCAATTATATAAGTGGAGAGGCATATTTAGCGCACTTGAGACCTCTTTAAACCCGCAATAAGCTCACATTGGGTGGCATTGATCTCTGAATGAAACCTGCAAGGATCTAATCTGCACTATCAGCGCTATCTGCACTTGAAGCTGTATTGCATCCGTCTTACTTAACCAATCTAACAACAAAGGTAGCAGACAGCATGCTTGGCTAATTGCATTACAACAGGTAGCCGATAATAACCTTAAAGGGAGTCGACAAGCCTAGACAGCGTGCGGACTGTTAGCTAAGTGACATACATTCTCAGTTTAGCATCACCACTGCCATCAGCTGACGGCGAGCGCTACACGTTCAGTTCACAACATGCACGCACGCCACCTCGCAGCTAAATCCGGAGTTAAAACATCACAAATGAACCCACGCCGCTGCTATGACATATTCCTGCAGACACATTGACTTCAGGGCTATTCCGCTCCAAAGCCATTCACAGAAATACGATAAAGCGGCAGCCGTAAATTACGCACGCCGCTCAGTACGCAAAGGAGAATGTATGTGCCCTCCTGACATGAGTTCATCCGCGGCTGGTAAAGGTTTGTAGGAGGTCAGCCTATTGTTAGCAGGTAGTATGTGTCCAGCAGGGAAGCCGTGCGAACCCCATCTTGAGCAATGCACACATTCAAACAACAGCGCTGCAAAAACACACAAAAAGATAACCAAGCGGCAAACTTACTTTCAGCGTGGAGCTCAGGGGTAAATCCGTGTTTGAGTTAGGTGTAAAAAAGCTCGTGTTTACGTCGCTGCTCCTCTCGCCCGCGCGCTCTTCACTCCACAAAGACCGACGTGAGAGCCCCGGAGACGATGTGAGTGAGTGACTGAATCAACTACCGTAGAGCACGGCAAGTTGAAGTGTCAGATTACACTGGCTATTCAGTTACCAGAGAGCCGTGCTTGCGAGGGGGGAGGAAGGAAAACGCGGGGTGGATCCACGAGGAAGGACGCAGCCGGTGGTAAAGGTGTAAGTACACGCTAATGGCGCGATAACAGCACATTCGCGCACAGTGGAGTGAGCCACAGCTGCGCGCTTTGTGCCATTACAGCGACCGACCAATCTCTGTCACTGGAACAAACCGATGCATTATTCATTAGGTGGATTAGGAACAGATTAATTAAACTGTTCTTTTTCATTTCATCTACTGATAAAGTTAAAATTATGTAAAAATAAAAATAAAATAGTTATAAATAGCTCAACCTACTATTATTTACTCTACAAGGAACATCTGGATAAATGCTTGTAAAGATTTTATTTAACTGACAAGTGAAATATAAATGTACTAAACTTTAAAAAAAAAAAATTAAATAAGTGTGCAATATAGCCAAAAATACAGTTGTTAGATAGCTATTAGATATAAGATAATCAGGCAATTCAATGTAGAAGACAGCAGACGTAGACGTAAAACACTTTTTGTTCGGACTATTACTTACTTTACATTTATTTAAACCATGTCTACTAAATAGCCAATAGTCTATAGTGAAAAAGTGCACATTACTAAACTCAAAATGCAAATGGACACGTGCAAATTTAGCTTATTTTTCATTTAAAATCATTACAAAGCAATATTTATTCTGAAAAATGCTGAGTAAAACTGTTGTAAACTCACCTGAACTTGTTATCCATGCGTGCACCCAGATTCCCCCTCTGCGGTCAGTGCTGCCTCCCTCTGGCTTGAACCCTGGTGAACCTCGCTCCGCTCCACAGCTCTGCGCTCCGGGTCCTGGTTTTGCGGCTCTCCGGTCTCTGGTGGAAGCCTCGGAATAACAAAGACGTGTTTGAGAGCAGCGCAGGCCGGGCCAGAGCTGACGTCAAGGAACAATGTCTCTCCTCCACACGCACGCTACCTCCGCGCACGCACGCACGGACAAAACATGCACACAAGCTCTTCCTTCTCAGGCAAAGCTGAACTGCCCACAGGGAGGGCCGCTCAGCTCGCAACGCATCAGATAGGATCACTCAGTCCTCATGCTGTGGCTTCACACGGGATTATTCCAGTGCTTTGGTGGAAAATAGCAACGCATGGAATGGTGTTTTGCAAATAAACTAACAGGGAAAAAAGAGAATGGGCGATGTTATGTTGTTATGTATATTGACAGTTAAAGTTAAAGTACAGTTTGTATGTCATCAAGTGCAAGGGTCAGGTCTCTGGCAATAGCAGAGCCTGGCCCCAGCACAGCTACAGTCGGGCCAGGTTCCTCTGCTCTGTGAAAGGGAAGGAAGAGGCTGAGAGCTGCTTTCCTGCCTGGAGGCTCCTGACACCGATGCACAGAACGGTGGGTGGGGGTGTTTGGGTAGGGGGCGAGCCTGTTGGGGGTGGGTGGGCTGGCTGGGTGTCTCTATCACAGTTACAGCCTGCATGTCTCAAGGACGCCCCAGCCCCCTGGTCGGAGCAGCAGCGTACTGATGGGGACAAATGTGGCCAGTGACATCAGACGCTCTGGCACTCACTCATTTTTATTTCGGGGGTCTGCTTCTTATGGAGATTGGGTGAGCAGTCAATGTCACTATGCTCTTGCCATGGAGTCATGATCGGACGTTCGGCTGAAAATTGCTTTCTGTCAAAGTGACCCGTGTCTGTTGTTAATATTATTCAGCTGTCATGTTAAGACAACAATATGAATACTGATTCCCTTAAGGCACATCTTATTGTGTGTTTGTTGAAATCCTCTGGGCTTAGGGCTGTCAAACATTTTTGGCTTTTCCAATTTAGTAGAAGACAAGTGATCAAGAGAAGTGTATGTTTGCTTTGAAGCTCTACACTTGGATCTGCATATGACAGAGCTATTGTTGTTTTGTGTGGCGTAACTTTTAGCCTCTTGGTAATAATAGATGTTCTGGATCATCCATCAAACTTTGTGTGTGGACTCCTTAAGGCACACGGCTGTTAGGCTGTTGGTGTGTGGAGATGGTCAGGTCAGACTTTGGGACACTGGGCAGTTCAAAGAATGGTTTTCTCTCAGGGACCCTGCTTTCACAGCCTGGCGTGTGGCACAGCCTCTCCAAAATAATACAGCCAGATGGCTGCCAACAAGATGGATGGATTATAGGTGGGGTGACTCCGGCTTGACTTGGCTCTGTATAATTTCATACGCGCTGGATTTCAAAGGGCTGGGGAAACGCACACAAGAACAAAGGGAAACCTCTGTGAAGCATGCCGCAACAAGGTTCATTCATATTGCATTGTGTTTAAGGGTGTTAAATTTACACCTGAAAACTGTTTGGACTGAGAAGTTTGAGGGCGCGCCAAAACTCTCCTGCTTCAAGATCAAACACAAAATAATACACTCCACAAAGTGCGCTGGTCTGTGGGAACAAATATTTCTAATCTGGTTTACACAGACATTTTCCTATCTGTGTGAACAGAACAGCAGACATAGGCCTTTTTTCTTTTTGAACTTTTCATCTTAATCCAATAATCAAAGCTTGCACTTATATTTCAACATTTATTTGTAAAGATACAACTGTAGAGCCACTGGGTCCATTATAATTATACAGCGAAGTTAAAACTAAAAGTGACATTCACATTTTTAGTGATTTACTTGATTGCAGAGGTGGATGCCAGTGAATTGTCTGAGAGAAAGTATTGAAAATGTTGTTTAGAAGTTGCAAAAGTTGCACAATCAGATTATTGAGTATACATTAAAACTATCAACAAGTTCCAAAAGTGCTGAGGCAGTTGAAAGTACAAGAGCAATACTTGACCCTGAACAAACATCTGCTGCCAAGTCTTAGCATAGGTAATGGAATAACCCCAAAAATATCAGGATAGTAGTTTTAGTCAATATCGCCCACCCCTACATCATTTCCAATAAGTCAATATGACTATAGCTCGCACACAGCAACAGCACGAGCAATGGATCCTGTACTCACTCTACAAGTTTTATTATACAATGTGACATATATATTTTTTCATTATTATTTTGAATTAATTAAAACAAAATACATTTAAACAGAACATGCAAACAATGACAGACTACACATTCCTAATTGATATATAAAAGAAAAAGGTGCACTATGTAACTTTTTGGTTGGGTGTCTGCCACCTGCTTGTTTTTTCTATAGATATTTCATTGCTCTGTCTGGAATGTTCCACAGTATGACATTAAACAGCTCTACCTTACATTTACTCAATTACAGGTGGTTTTAAAAATAGTATTTCAAAAATACCAAAAAATTCTGACTATGAACGGATCGCCTCTCCACAAATCTGACCTGTAACTTGGTCTGGTTTGGTCTCCATGAAGATAGAAACATTTAATACTAGACTGTGAAATATTCCAGGCAGAGTAATAACCCTTCCAGCTGAAAAGTTACCCAATGCACCTTTAAGAATATAACTGTGTATTTCAATTAGGAGTAGTTTGAAGTATATCAGGACATTTCATTTTATGGCTCTCCACACTTGATAGAGGGGGAGCAGGCGCGGAGCTGACATCACCTCCCCGTTCACATGGAGGTGTGAGCTTGTTTACAGAGCCACCGGCCGCAGCACTACGGGCCCCTCCACTGCACTATATGATCCCTTCAGATAGCCATAAAGAGGATGTATTGTTAGGAGTGGAAAGTGACTAAGTGAGTGAGCGATCCCACCACCCCATACAAACAGGCGCCAAGGACAAGGCAGTGTTTTTCATGGCTCTAAATGGCTTTGATGACCCTGGTGAACAGAGCAAAGACCAGACCAAGGCTCCACTCTGCAGCAGGGTAAACAACAGCAGCCCCAGCATGCGTTTGGGGAGAGAAAGTGGTCTGGATTGCACTTGTAAGTTGCATTTTTGTACCTTACAATGTATATGCTAATAATTTTTATATACATTTTCTTTTCTTTCAGGAGCTATGAGCTGAGAGACTTAAAGGTCATATACACTACCGGTCAAAAGTTTTAGAACACCCTCATTTTTCCAGTTATTTATTGCAATTCCAGTCATGTAAATCCAATGAAGAGCATGAAATGATACAAAGGTAAATACTGAACTGCCAGAGGTTAAAAAAAAGGTTAAAGGTATCAAAACACAAGTCCAAGCTCTGCCAAAACTACCTCAGGAAAAAAGAACAAGATGGTGAGCTTGAAAACATGGAGTGGCCAGCACAGTCTCCAGACTTAAACCCCACTGAGCTGGTTTGGGACGAACTGGACAGAAGAGTGAAACAACCTACAAGTGCCACACATTTATGGGAACTTCTACTACAGACTTGGGAAGAACTTTCTGAAGAATATTTGATTTCTATTGTAAAAAGAACAAGCCATGAGTGTGTTCAGCTGTTATATCTGCCAAACGTGGACACTTTCATGAATCAAAAGTTTAGAATACATTTTGGCCAAGAGTAAACAGTAAAAAAAAAAATGGAAAAAGTGTGGTGTTCTAAAACTTTTGACCAGTAGTGTATTACGGAAAACTGACTCTGACATGTTGGAATGTTGTTACTTTATCAAAAACAAACCTGGAGGTGTGTTTTGTTTCATTCACACATGCTTGAGTCTGTCTACACCTCCAAAGCTCAAAATGCTCTGTTCCATCTTATGATGTCATTTAGTTTTAGTTTTAGTTAACAGCTACCTTTTACTTTTTGTTCAGGGGAGGTCCAGGGCTGAAATTATCCAAACGATTCTAGTGAAGGTGTATGGAGTTTAAAATCACAGTGGAGCACTTCCTGTATTACTGCATGACATTACAAGGTGGAATGTTTGCAATTTGAGAGAAGAACTCAGCTTAAATATGCAGGATTTATGTGTTAAACTTGTGTCAGTGAAACAAAACACAACTCTGGGAATGTTTGTGATGAGAAAACAACATTATAACACAGATCAGAAAATAACATAACATGGGCC